CAAATAGTCCATTTTCCTTGAATTCATCCAAGCCCCAACTGAAAAACATAAAACATTCTGTCACAACATATTAACTATTCCACTTCAAAATGAAATCAAGAAACACTACAGTGTTCTAAATCAGTTCTAAAATCACTGAGTAAGATTATCACAGTAACCATTAAATGCAATCAAATAATCAATTCATAAATGAAGAGGGTAAATTATTCAAAACTTTTATTCTTTAAACTTGTTGGTGCTCAAAATAATATAAGAGTATTCCTCGGGGACCAAACTGCAAGTGTGCCGCAAGGTAATCTGCTGGTGGGACAAATATTTACCAACATTACAATATTCCAATGAATAAAACATGAGCATCCCTTAGTAATATAGCAGTTAATTGTCAAGGGAGACTGACATTTGGATTGTTATTAAATAAAGCGCAATGCTGTGGCCTTAGGGCAGCCATAAGAGCCACCAAAGGCACAGAGTTGTGGATTGTCTGTCTCCATAAGGCCCTCAATGGTGAGCTCAGAACTTTCTTTAATTAAAAGAGTTGCTCTTCGACTTTTTTCAGTCTGGATCATCATGCATATGAGGGTGTGTTTGCAGTCACAAGGGCATACTTAGATCGGGTTTGGCAGCTCGCATGTAGAACTTCAGTTCAGAGAAGAGAGGGCCGTTGTCACTGGGCTCCTGCAAGACACAGTAAAAAATAATCACCAATAATAACTGACATTAAAAATAATAAAACCGTGAACCCACATGCATTTAAAAAAACCCGGCAGAGGGAAAGTATACATCCATTATCGCACTTCCATGCAGTGTCTTTTTACCAAAGCATAAATTATTCTATTTAGTTTGCTTGTAAAATGCATACACTTGTTTACATGGCCTTGCAAAAGTCACACTCTTTTACCCAAATTACTATCTATCAGGTAATAATCATAAGTTTTATTGCTTTGTTTACTTAAAATAAAAAAATTATAAAAGTGATGGTTATAGAAAATTACATTGTTTTCAATTCAAATAATTAAAAAATAAGTTTATTAATTTTTTTATAATTTGTTTATTGTTCTAGTTAAGGTCACAGAAATGCATTTCATTGATTGACATTACATTGCTGGCCATCCAAAACATCACGGCCATTCAAAAAGTTCAAGATCTAGACATATATCTACTGGCAGCAACAAAAGCCCCTTACCACTTTAATGACATAAGGTGCATCAACGCCAACAGATCCTGAAGAGTCTTCATTTGCTAAAATATATATGACAAATTCGCATTTGAGCAACTGATAAAAAACGAAATAAAGCATTAGAACTTCATTTCCGACAACTTTTTTAAAATCCTACCGAGATACAGCAGGCCAAAACCTCCCTGCCCCGCAGCTGATCCAAGCTTCCATTTTTTCTTTGCATTATCCGTCAGAACTTCTCCAGGTGTGAATTCTTCAGCCAGTTTCCTCTTGGCTGGAGCTCTCGATTTCTTCGCCCCATCTGCCTTGGACTTTGGTGGCATTTTACTGAATAATTTAAAGTACCAAACAAGAGAAACACAAGTTCCATTACAACTAAACTGAAGTGGGGACCATTAGGGATAAGGCTTTTATTTTTTTATTATTTTCTAATTTTATACAACATTACAAACATACAACATTTTATTTTAATTTTAAACAACATTACAAACATATTAGCAATAATGCTTATAGAGTAAATTGTTTAACTGAAAACGTTACTTATGGTGTGTTCACACCAGGAAAGTCCGCTAGTTCACTTGCTTTGGTCCGGACCAAATATAACGTTGATTTTTTTTTTGTTTGGTGCGGTTTGCTTTCACACTACCCTTTTTTGCAAGTGAACCAGAAATTGTAAACAAAACCACACGTGTGCTAAGGTCATCCATTCATTGGACAGAAATTCTCAAGCAGGGAAAAACATGAAGTGCAAAAACAGGCTAATCGTGGAGATCTTTCGTAGTGCAATTTTTATTCTTTTACTGATTTGGTGTTATCAGATACTAACGCAATATGAAGAAACTTATGAGCATCATATGAGACAATGTCATACGATGTTGTAATTAGGACTTGCCGAAAATAAAATCTATAGACATAAAATACTTACAGCATATCACAATGTTAGTTTAAACATTTAACCTATATAAATGTGCAATCGTTTGTGTGGAGAGTGGAAGCTGAAGCCGTAATTTTTGCTCATAAATGTAAGAATAAATACATCGTTCGGAACTGTAAAGGGTCTATTTTTATTTGTGTGCACTCAAGAAAACGTTGTGCTTTTGTAAAATAAAGAGAGATGTCCGCGCTCTCTTATAGCTCTCGCAGTACTTTGATGACACACACCCATCGGTCTAAGCAGCACTGCTTCAAGTTGAGCACGGGCCATAAGCAGAAAAAGAAAATAAAACAGTAAACAGCCAAAGGACATAACTTAGAATGGGAGATGGATCAGTTTGTGAAAGCGAAGAGAAAAGCCATAGATGAAGTCGCACAGACCCAGGCAGGTGCTGGTCATTTAAAAGCTAAATACAGAAAATATGATGAGGCATATCTTGCTCTCGGCTTCACTCACTGTCTATACCGGACGCTACAGTTGACGCGTCGGACCGCAACAGCTCTACACTGGACGCGACAAAGCAACCGTTGCAAATCATTTGAACTGTGTGTCAGTACGTCATAAATAGAACAAGGCATCAGTTTAATGTTGAGTTTCATCGCGCCGCGCTGCATCCAGTGTAGACAGCGTCACTGATTATAATGTTTCTACTGTATTTTGCCGCTCGCGTCCAGTGTAGACACGGTGTGTTGGTGAGGAGGAAAGCCTGTGTGTGTCCTATGCCTTAGCGGACAGCAAGAAACCCACAAAAAATAAATACATAACAGAGAGAGAATAATAATAAGTTATTCTCGCTATGCTGTTTTTCAATGTTTCAAGTGATGCAGGTGTTTTTTTCCCTTTAAATTAAAAAAACATTAATTTTTCATAATGTTTAGTGGAATTATTTGGTAGTCTGAGGGGGACGCAACCAAAAAGGTTTGAGAACCACTGGTCTAAAGTTAACAGACAGTGTTTAAAAAGTGCAGTGCACATGTTTACGAAAAATTTACTTAAATGATTTTAGCAAATGGCTGCAATGTAACAGAGTGAAAAATTTAAGGGGGTCTGAATACTTTCCGTAACTACTGTGTGTGTGTATATATATATATATATTTATCAGTCTTGCCAAGGTGTTCGTAGAGGGCTGTAAAACCAAGACCTGATCATCAGATGTAGTCACTTCATACCATTACAGATGTATAAATAGAGACCTACAAATAATTACACTACAAGTATAAACAAAAAACAATGATACTAGGGTGTGTCATTAAAACTGTCGTGCCGTGCAACTGTCTAGTGTTTAGGCTTTGTTTCATTATTGTTGACTAAATAAAATGTAGATATTTGGAAGATTTTCGATTTCACAGATGTATTAGCACTTGAGCACTACAACTGATGACAAACTCGGTGATAACATTTGTGATATGGATACAGCTTCAATATGCGATGATGCTTTTTGTTTCACTTTTACAACACAGACATTAAGAGCTGTGGTTTCAGTTTGCTTATGTGATTCAAGTTTTTAAGAGTGATAAAGCGGTTAATGTCACTGCAAAGTGCAGCTCAACAATTTCAACTTGCTATGCTAGCATGGTTTAGCTGCCTTATTACGGCTTTTTATCACAACAGATGAGATGCTTTGTCCTCATAATCCGCTATTAAATACATACGGACATTATGCTTTATTAAAGCAGATTGAGAATATTATACTAACCTTTCCGCGGGTAAGGGGCAGGTTGTAACAGCTCTTCCTCTCCAAAGTTCCCGCAAAACTGCTCATCAGGCTGAGGCTCAGCGAATGCGATTGGTTAGAAAGAGGGCTGCGTAGTTCCTGGGTTTTGCTATGCCTGATGGGATATGTAGTTTTTATCCGTTTTTTTCACAAGCAGTTCCAATTGTCAAATTGCGATGTTTTGTTATATAATAAATAGACCCATTTGAAAAATACTACAAAAGAGCATTTTTAAACATTACACTAAACGTGTCTCTCTTTCTTTCTGAATGCGTGACTGTATTTTATTGCTAAATAATGATTTCAGAGGTGGTGGAACTCAGGAAACAGAAATAAATATGAATTTGAAAATTGTTCTCAAGTTTTTGTAATATTACGAGTGGGTAGAGAAATTACAATATTTATACTTACAGATACATATTTTACACCGATTTACAGATGTTATACCTTATATTCAAGGCATTTAAAAGTATATATTTCAATGTGATATGGTGTAAACTTAGAGTTTGTCAATCTCTCTCATAATATGTAGCCTAAAAAAAGAAAGAAAAAGCTTGTAATTGTCTGCAAGGATGTTATACATTAATTTGACAGACATTTCCGTTAACCCTAAAGCACAACACAATGCAGTGCATAAGTAAAACACCTGTAAAAATCAATATGGAAAATTCCTTCATGTTAATACAGTACAATGTGCCCTATTTTTTTAGAGTGTACTGTTATACATTTAGTGTGAGGTATATTTACGACAGTAACCCTCAAAAAAAATTGTAGGCTCTGTTTCCCCATGTGCATATTTGATGTTGACTTATATAGAGCTGTACTAGCGTTGAGAGGCACATAGTTTATGAATAATTGACTATGTGGTATCCTGTAACTGTTTTGTAGAAGTGCTATGCTGCGAGTTTAAGTTTCCTTTTGCCTAGTGACTACAGAATAACAACACGAGAATTCACAGAAGCAGATTTCGGAGGGCATTTCATGGTTTGTTTTCTGCAGCAATGAGGTATAGATAATGTGTCCAGAGATGTTATCATATATGAAGGATTTTATAGTTCAGAGGACTGACGTCTGAGCTAATGGGATGTCTGACATAGAAGTACATGACATCAGAGCTACATATTGATGGAAATTTTGGTTAATCAACTTTGTAGGACATCACTCATAGCAGAAGAATGACAGGGCTCTCAGAGGAAGAGGCAACATCTCAGTCTCTGAAGGAGGGCAGAGAAAAACGTGTATCATTTCCCCCAGATGAGCAGATGGTGTCTGACTTTGTGGAGAGAAGGGCTGAACTTCAAGAGGGTGAGATGGAGTTGATGTTGCTGACGGCCTCTTTAGATCAGCTGTGCTCGTTTTTTTTTTTTTTTCATGTAACATCATTTGTCATAACAGCAAAAGCAACACTTGTTATGTGTGAGACATGGTCAGTTTGGGTCGGTAGGATGTGTTAATGATTTTGAAAGAAATCCCATATGCTCACCAATCCTGAATTGATTTGGTTAAAATACATTATAATAATATTGTGAAATTATTAAAAGTAATATTGTGAAATTTGTACAATTGTAGAAACATGATATGCTTTTCCAAGTTTATTTGATTAATAGAAAGTTCAAAAGAACAGCATTAATTTAAAATATTTTTGCAAAAATGTACTGACTTTACTGTCACTTTTGATCAATTGAATGTGTCCTTGATGAAGAAAAGTATTCATTTATTTTTTAATGTATCACAATTATATTTTTAAATGAACCTTACATAACCTTATATACAGTATGTACTTTAATGTAAATAAAATATTTAATTATTTCCTTCATGTATGTCATGGTGCTAATTCATTTTTTTTCTTTTTGCTAATAATATAATGGAATATAAATGGAATATTCTTGATGTGGCTCTAATATGTGGGTTTTACATTTGTTCTGTTTTAGCTGACAGTCTCACTCTGACAGATATAATTCTGGCCTACAAGCAGAGCTGTGAAAAGCACCACGTGAAACCAAACCCAAAGGCTCTTGATCAATTAAAGGTACAGTGGAACATGCATTAATACACACAGCACTTCTCACACTTTGATTTCTTGCTAATATTAGGTTATTTGTGCAGAAGATTTGGTTTGAAATAGCTATGAACATTATTTGGTGAAAATAACTTTGAAATGAAAGAAAGAAAAATAAACACATTTTAATCCCTCTTAGGGAGCAGGTTAATTAGCCAACCACATTTTATTGAACTAAAAAAGCAAGACAATAACAAACAGGTAAATGAAAGGAAATGAGAAGCACACACACAAATACACACTCTCACACGTGAGCATGCATGCATAATTTATGCTCTGCACTTACTTATTTTACTTTGACCAGCAACGTTAAGAGCGTCAGTTTCTCTTCTGCATAAATTTATGATTAGATCAAGGAGAATTATTTGTGGGAAATTAGTGATTTAGCAGTGCTTACATTAAACACACTCTCTGCATTATCTCCACACCGCTAATGAACCCCACTGCATTTGAATGGAATGTAGGTGGTCCCCCTAAAAGGGTGAAATATGTATGGTTAAGTGGAAGGATATTTAGTTGAGGACTGCGTTTGTATTCATAATAAGAGAATGCTAAATTAAATTTGCTGTTTAAAGAGCATATTTATCAAATTAGCTAGGTTTTTTTTTTCCCAGGCAGGATCATCCCTAGAGAATGCTGCTGAAAACTATTTAAAGCTATTATTGTACCCGTGGGCTTTCACTTTTCTTTGATTTTTTTTTTAAGTGGGTAAAACAGTCTTGCTTTTGGTTACATCTTCACAGAAGTGGTAAACAAACAAAAGGCCTGTATGAAGGACCCCGGGCCCCCTTAGTTTAACACTAGCTAAATGCTTGAAGGAATAGTTCACCCAAAAACGCAGAAAAATTTCCATTCAAGATGTAGATACATTTGTTTCTTCATCACAACAAATTTGGAGAAATTTGGCATTACATCACTTGCTCACCAATTGATCCTCTGCAGTGAATGGGTGCCGTCAGAAGGAGAGTCCAAATAGCTGGTTAACACATCATGATAATCCACAAATAATCCATGTCTCCAGTCCATCAATTAATGTCTTGTGAAAAGCTGCATGTTTGTAAGGAACCAATCCATCAAGATGTTTTTAACTTCAAACCATTGCTTCCGGCTAAAATACGAGTCCTTGATTCATAGTATTGTTTTCTCTATAGTGAAAAACTCGACTTGTCTGAATCAGGAGATAAATATGCACAGAACAAGCACCGTTTAGAAATGAAAACAGCCCAAAACAGATCTAAACAAATATTTTGGTGTGTGAGGACAACAAGGGGATGAACTTTTCACTGAAAGAAGCAACACTGTGTATTATGGACTCTGATATTTTGGCCAGAAGACAACGGTTTAAAATTAAAACGCATTCATAATGGATTTGTTTCTTCCAAACATGCAGCATTTTAAAGTCACAAGACGTTAACTGATGACTGGAGTTGTGAGGATTACTTGCGAATTATTGTGATGTTTTTATCAGCTGTTTGGACTCTCATTGTGATGGCACCCATTCACTGCAAAAGATCCACTGGTGAACAAAGTGATGTAATGCTTTTCTCTGTTTCAATCTGTTTTGATGAAGAAACAAACACAATTTGGATGGCCTGAAAATGAGTACATTTTCAGATTTGTTTTTATTTTTGGGTCAACTATTCCTTTAAAGTATTATTTTCATTCTCATTATTCTTTGTTTAGTGCTGTAAGCTGGCTCTGGAAGTTTTTCATTCAAAGTTTTCCATGTCCACTCCGTCTCAGAACACACAAAAACTTCTTGATATAAGTTACTATCCCAGGGGCTTGTAAATGAGTAACGTTTGTTGAAGTGTCACCGCCACTGAAGTGCAAATCCTGTCGGAGGTGGTGGCAATTGTAGAATCAGAAAATAACAAAGAGAAAAGACTTACAGAAGCGCCCCATACAGTATGAGTGCTCGCCTCCGAAGCCGAGGAAGCATCATCAAACGATTCAGCATTTCACATCTCCCTACAGGATAAGGCGTCGATTTTGTGAGAAGTTTGTATTTTAGACTGAACCGTCCTCCCATTAGAGCGAATGCAGCCCAGCAGAGCTCCCCAAAAACATCCTTGCTCCCAGCCTGACTCTGTCGAGCTGCTTAGCTGTGAGCGTTGAACATTCATTAGAATGCCACAGAGTGTCTGAAGTGAAATAACTATCCTCCCCCCAATACAGAGAGGAATTTCACAATCTCTAACATCTAAATAGCGTAGAGTATAAATAACTTTCCCACTTTTAATCTTTAATGTCCATAGCACCCTCTATAGTATGAAGATTCGCAGTGATTTCTTTCTTTACTGCATGAAATAGCCATGCATGTTTATTTCCTTCCCAGCTGTCTGGAGCTGCAACGCTGCAGTCACCATCCATGTAGCCAATCATGTTGTTTTTGAGGCTAGTTATTTATCATTTTCTATGACAAGCACCAAATTGTTCTATTAAATGTATTTTTTTCCGGCTCTGGTGCTGATGAAGAGGCAGGGAGGCAGCGTAACAATTTCAAAAACAAAAAAAGTTGTGTACATTTTCATTTTGTTAATGATAAATTAAGTTCTTAATTTTGTCTATGCTCTTTCTAGACACTGCAGGTTTAATTGCTAATTGTTAACTGGGAACGAATATATTTGCATATTAATTAGATCCCAATTTACATTTTTAATTTGCTGCCTTCAAAGGGTGTGAGATAAAAGGTTGTGTTATTTTAAATAATTTATCCTTTATTGCAGAAAAGATGCTGAAAGGAAAATGTGCGGCTGATTTTAATCCCTGAGAGCTTTTACTGTATAACATTTTTTCGAAATAATTTTTTCAACTAATTAAATGAGGAAAAAGGGAGAAATATATGCTCTCAAACAGTTGCTAATACAAAGCCACCCAGACTGCAGAGCGCTGGAGTGGGTCTCCAGGAGTCGTTGAGTGAAGAATTGGAAATGCACTTGAGATGTTGTCTGTGGAAGTCAAGTTTATAAGCTGTGTCCCGTTCTGCCTGGAGGAAGCAAAGCTCTCTTTATCACTTAATTTTGTCCTCTCCCTCCTGACACATCAATGCATTTTGTACTTTGTCATTTCATTTTCCTCAATACACAGCACAGAACATTGCTTAGCAGCGAAGGGCTTCAGAAGTTTCCACATTTATTAAGATGGAAAACATCAAACAAAGAAAGAGAGGTACAAAACCATGGCCTGAAGTCATCCTTGTCGAGACTTTTCTATCAGAATAATATTAAACCTTTCGTTCGCACATTGCGATGCTTAATTTGTTTTGCTCTAAACATAAAATCCCATATGACGTCCTGTTCTTGTTTACAGCAGGTTGACTGAGGGACTTCATCAGTCCGTTGCCTGATAGATGCTAACTGTCATCTGCTAGCTACAGTCTAGCGGCTAGATTGCCAGATTGAGCTCAAATGATCTGCGCTGTGACGTACTTGAAATCAACATGCACTGTTTGGTGTCACTTTCAAATGTTGATGATTACATTTTGTTTGAGGTATATTAGTGACTGTACAATTACAAGATTCACAAAATACTTTGTGATACCTATCACTCAGTGCTTTCATATTATATGCAATAAAATGAACTCTGTAATATACTATATATAATTGGGACCTAAATGTTATTTTTAATTAGAGATCATTACGATGAGCATTTTGAAACTTTTATGTCCTTTTAAACAATTTTGATGTTAAAGGGGTGGTTGACTGCGATTTCACGTTTTTAACGTTAGTTAGTGTGTAATGTTGCTGTTTGAGCATAAACAATATATGCAAATTTACGAAGCTGAAAGTTCAATGCAAACGGAGATATCGTCTTTTAAAATTCTGGCAGTATAATGCCTACAAAAACACACTCGTAGGGACTACAACGAGTTACTTCCCGGGTTCGTGACATAACAAACCCAGATAAACCCCAACCTCGGGAAAAGGCAGAAAAGGGGGCGAGGTCATGCTGCGCTGCTTTAGAGAAGAGGAAGAGAAAACTAGAGGTGCACATAAAAATCTATTCATATATGAATCGCGACTCTGTCTTCTAACGATTCTAATGGATTCACAAGTTTCAAAATCAATGTTCTAAAGCAGAGTTCTTAAATTACTGTCCCTTGCGTCCCCCTGCTATGCACATGCTCTGCATCTCTCTCTCTCTCTCTCTCTCTCTCTTATTCAGCTCAGCTCCAACAATGAACTGTTCCAATTATACACTTATTTTCACATAGCTATGAGAAGCATTAAACATGGACGCGCGTGCAGTTGTCGTACTGTATTAAAGCTTTAATCAGGATAAAACCATATATTAAAAGCTAACATAAGCTGTAGCATTTACAAATAACAGCATATCTAAAAGTATGAGACAACAACAAACAAAAAACATAGGCCTACCATTAAAAGCTGTGCTTGCACAGGTTCTGCACGATCCTCTTCAATAATATCCTCTGCTTCTCAATCGGGCTCAAACTGATAAGCGATATTAACGACGCCGTTGTTTACAATACAACTAGAGCACATGCCGCTGAGGAGAGGGGCGATAGAGGCGATAGAGGTGGTTTAGCCAATCAC